AGATATCTAAACACAATATATAAATTGTTATTCATCTATTGCACAAAAGCAACAAGAACAACTAATATAACAAAAATGATTAACATGCACAAGCATAGACAGTTTCTATTTATAACACGTGTTTGCCGCATTGAGCAATGTAGACAGTCACAGATCTGTTGATTTCAGGAAGGTATTTAAGTTAGAATCCACTCACCGCTCAAAAGTTCTTGCGCAGTGCTGAAAATTGCGTGCTTACGAATCCTCTCATTAACACACGAAGTGTAGACATTATGGAAGATTCATTGTGCATATATTCATTGTGTGATAACAGCTATGAGATCATGATGAACTGAGATGTCAGCTTTTTAGTGATAATAAAGGGAGCCATGGCATGCACGCAGCAGCCCATGCTTGCTTTTCTGTTAAAAATAACAGGGAACAGTGGTTTGTGAATGTTGTTGTTTAGCCAAAATTATTTTATCGGGAGCGTTCATGTGAGCGCTGCTGCAGTCTTTGGGTAGGGCTGCACGATAAATCGAAATGGAATTGAAATCGCGATTCGACAGAAGCTGCGATTGTTATGCGTATCTTTCAGTGAAGCACGGTTCTGTGATCAGCAGTAAATCTCCATCCGAAGGCCAGAGGGCGCTCTCGAGCTGAAACTCCAAATAGCCTCGCAGAAGAAACCCAGGAAATCCATATAGCGGTTGTTAAATAAACAGAAGATTTAACTGCTTTCATTAATTCAACGTGACCAATAAACACAACTACGACAATATATTTATCCGTGTTAGTCATATTATAATTTTTTATTATAATAAAGTATATAATAATGCAATGCTAATCGACATCTTTATCACTACTTAGAATACTATGAAATATGTTGCGTGCCTTATTCTGTGTAAGAAGCCACATCATCTCACAGAAGGATTTATTTCAAACACTCGACTGACGTTATGAAGTGAGTTTGGAGTAAAAACATGTTATTAAATGTGGTATTTTCTCGTGCTTTCAGATGGAACAGCATTTACTACACACAGAGCCGTAGTTCACTGATAAGCTATGCAAACAGCTTTCATAATCGCTGAACAATTTCTTCGATTTAATAATCGCGCGATTAAATCGTCTGCGATTATGAACGTGATTTTGCATAGCTTGTCAGTGAACTAAGGCTCTGTGTAGTAAACACTGCTCCATCTGAAAGCACGTGCTGGAGATTTACTACTCATCACAGAACCGGCTTTACTGACAAGATACGCATGACAATCGCATTCGATTAATCATGCAACCCTAACTAAAACGTTTTAGAGAGTGCTCTAAAATAATTTGTTCTCTTACATGTGCAACAAAAGAAGCAACTTTGGCATCACTACTCAAGATTTTCTCATCAAATCTTTCCCATCTTGTGTACGCAGTATTGATGCTTACAGTTGTTTTTTGTTTTTTTTTGGAAATGTGTAACTATTTGGACTTTAATGCTTACTCTTTTTTTTGTAAAAAGAAAAAACAAACACACAAAACACACATTTTTGTATGATTCAAATCATACGAATTCATACGAAATTGCCAACTCATAAAACAGTAGACCCATGAGATTGTGTTGGATTATCCTGTTGTTTCAGCTGATAATGCACAATAATATGTGTTTTCCCGTCTATTTTTCACTTTTTGCATCACCAAACAACACTATGCTGTTAGCGTATCTATATATGGCAGCCAACAATGGTAAGAATTCTCTCCAGCATTTGTGATTGACTGCAGGTCACGTAATTTCAACATGGCGATATACACTGAGAGGTGTGACCCCACCCTACATAATTAAGACTATTTTTATAGAAAACTGTTATGAGTTCAGTCTTGATTTCATGTGAGTACAGTGCACCATTTAGATGACTCTTCACAAAATGTATTTCTCAATGTGTAAGACTTTTTAAATGAGCACCAAACTATTGAATGCACATTTGAGATTTCCAAGACCTATGACCTATCGATTGAAGACTTTAATCTTCTGCCAGTATGTGATCTGCATGTGTAGCACACAGCTGTGTATCAATCTTGGATAAGACTGATCGTCTTCACTGAACGATGCCACGGGCAGAATCAATCAGCTGTTACATCTGAAAGCAATTCTAATTTGCAATGGGAAAATCAAAATGAAGCAGGATAACCTTTACTATGGAAGAGATCCCAGCATGCTTGCTAATCACACACCCACCTTTTCCCTTCGCTTTTTGCTTGTGGCACCATGCCCACCTCGTGCCTTCAGCTGGTAAAGGAACAGTTTCCTAGCAATCACTCATGTGCATTAATAATCCAACAGCACAATCAGAAATGTACAATAGCCTCATGCTAACATCTCATGCCATTGTGTTCAGAAATGGGCTGATTGAGAATGCTGATTTTAGATTGCAGGTCTCAAAAAGTCCATAAAAATCCTCTTTCATGGATTTCAAACCAAGACAGCTGTAAGAAGTCTATTAGAGGCATTGTCAGAAAGATCCTACAACTCAGTATGCTTTCTGTTTATCCACATAATCTATTGCACTTGCAATACAGCATTTATAATATCAGATTGTCAATTTTCCCTGAAAGAGAATATTGCATGGAAAGGAAATGATGAACATGCATGCTGTTCAAAAAAAAGGAAAAGAAAAATATGTCAATGTGCTTGCATGTTTCCATATTTCCACACCCTAATTGCGACTTTTTATTTCACAATTCTGACTTTGTTTCTCACATTTCCAAGGTAACTTCTCGCAATTCTGAGTTTATATCTCACAATTCTGAAAAAAAATAAAAATAAATTCTCAGAATTGCAAGTTGTAAACTCAGAATTCCAACTTTCTTTCTTACAATTCTGCATTTATATCTCACAATTCTGAGTTTATATCTCACATTTTTGAATTGCGAGTCAAGAAGTCAGAATTGTGAGATAAAAAGTCACAAGTACCTTTGCATTTATTTATTTTTTTTAATCCTGTGGCAAAAAACAGCTGCATGGCTTTCAAAGAAATCTCAATTTCATGCTTTAGAATTTGTTGTGGCACAGAGGTTATAAATTAATTGCTGGACATCACAGTTTTTTTTTTCCTTCACATGAAATGCCATGTGAATGATCTCATGCAGTATATGCAGTACAGCAGTACATGATCTGAGATCACATTCATAGGCTGTATCTTGTGCAATCCTGAACAAAGAATAGCTTGGGAGAAGGAGGAAAGCAATCAATGCAGGTGAAAAACACAAGCCGCATACCAAATCATGTACTGGAACAAACATCAACAGGAGAGTTCACTTTTTTCTTCAAATCATTAGTGAAGGCATAAGCAAAAAGCATAGACAGAAAATGAACGATTATTCACAGATGTCTTTTTATTTGTCAAACAAAAGAGCTGTCTATGTTAGCAATGGCTGTCCTCCTTTGTACACTTTGCTTGAAATAGTAGTGTATAATTGGTATGTTTTACCATATAGCATTTGCTTGACACGGTATGAATAAAAATAAATATGAAATTTGTTTTTGGAACAGCTGACAGCATAAACGTAAAACTAAAAAAGTATGTGGCCACTGTTGACTTTATCTATACATGTTTTCAAACTATCAATATTCAAAGCACATTTAATGGAAATGCTGGACTATCAGACCCATCAATATAAATTTTTTTCCTCAAAAATGTGCCTGTGGACCTCATATTTAGATTTTTTTTTTCTTAATACACAGTCACACTCAAAAGGTCTATACAAAACTGATAAATGTGCACAAAAGTCATTTGAACAGTGTTAGAGAAGAATCTCACAGACACAGGGAAATGTTAGACAAGAATTACTGATATTACTTCCATATATGTCGATAAACATAGAAACTGTCACGAATCCTGTCCATGGACTTCCGTCCAATTGCCACCAGAGGTCACCCTTTCATTACATTGACTCTCACACTACACACTGTTGTGTAACTGTTGCACGTCATCCCAGACTACATATCCCAGCATTCATTGCAGTGATTAGACACACAGCTGCTGCCAATCACACACCCTACATAAGCCATGGACTTCCTCTCTTTCACTGTCGAGTATTGTTTGCGTATATCGCTCTCCTAGTGGTAGCACATTACGGAGCCAGTTTTCTGCCCTAGTTTCCAGTCCTTAGTTCTTAGTCTTGTCTTGCCTGCTTTCCCGTGTTACCTGATTCTTGCCTGTTTATCTTGGATTAACCCTTTGCCTTTCTGTTTCGGACTGTGTTTACACCTCGCCTGGACTATTGCTCGTGTTATTGGATTTCCCCTCTTGTCAAGCCTTCTGGATAATGTTCGCTGTGGACTGACTCATGCCCGTTTTTGGATTAGTCTTTTGTCTTGCCCTCAATATACCTGTTTGCCATTGTCAGAACATTGCCTGTTTTATGACCACGCCTTTAAATAAAAGCTTTGCAGATGGATCCGCACGTCTCACGTCTCGTTCGCCCCTTAACAGAAACATGATGTCAACATTTATTTGTTAGTTTAAAAAATATGGTACTGTACGTGATGTATATACTGATTCTGGTGTATGATATATGCTGAATTCATTTTTATTTTTTTGACATTCAAGACTGTTCAAATAGTGTTAAACCCCCCTCCCCCAACTCATGGATTCTTGTATGTGTGTGTATATATATATATATATATATATCATGAGCCCTGAAAATTTCCAGAAATTAGCAAATAAAATGATGCAGTGATTTCACAACCCAATGATGCTCACCTTTGAAATGAGTAACTAGATTCCCATGATTACCTAACAGCTGCATAAACATCTGTATCTAATATTTCCGTACAAGAAACCTGTTATTTATTGGTGACTTTATTATATGTGACCCTGGACCACAAAACCAGTCATAAGTGTCAATTTTTCAAAATTGAGATGTGTACAAAGGGGAAAAAAGAAGAATCTCACTTAGTGTAGTCCATACAACACATTTTTTCATGTTAATATTTCTTCACATTTTCTAACAAGCACTTCAAAGTTTTTTGTTTTTTTTTTAATCGTAAGATTGTAAGTACAAAAAAAGATGACATCTATCCTGAGGATTTTACAATCAAGAAAAAAAAAAAAACAGTAGTACAGGTAATTAACAGGTAAACAGCCTGAAAAACTGAGACATCTGGAAGTTAAACAAACAATAATTTATACATCAAATACCTCTAAATGATTAATTTCCAATGACATTATTTTCTTGACAAATTTATATTTTGACTGCCTACATAACCTGTAAGTAAATGTACCTTTACCTTCATAACTTTCCAGCAGTTGTCTATGTGTGTGAAATTAGTTAAGATTGGTCTGTAATAGGTGCTTCCAGTACTGTAATGTTGCTTTTATTATGGCATGTCATTACGTTATGGGGCATGTAACAGTGTCTCTAGAAAAGTACAGGAAAACAGATCATAAAAATTTGAAATGATTGATAAAAATGATCTACGAAATGCTTTAATTTGAACTTATACATGTTGTTGTCTTATACTTCTATTCACTTTTGCATCATGCAGTTATTTAGCATTTTACATATAATACAATACCATCATATTTATTGTCTACACAACAATGTCAGTGTCAGCTGAGATATAACTTCTTCAGTCAGGCCTGCTGTTAAAATGAAAGTAGAACGATATTTTACGTTAATGTTATTCTTTTCTGTTATGTGTTTGATTATGGCCCAAAAAGCATTGCATGTCATTTTGTTCTGGTTTAAAGTGACACTGTACAGTGGCTATTGTTCCACTGCGTAAACCACAGTGAAATAAACCCCATGCTCCATTTAGCTCTTTAAAAAAAAAAAAAATAAATTGAAAGAATTAATTCAACAAATGGCACAGACCATAAAAAGGACAAACAAGCAGGGCATGATAGATGACTAAACCCAACCTCTTTAGGAAAAAAAAACAAAAACAAATCATAATATTACAAAAATTGAAAATTCAGATGAAACCAATTTTAATTTTACATGTTTAAGCACAGTTTATATTGAATATGGATTAAAGAATATGGGTATTCACTCTTCCTCCGTGCATCCTAGTAACTCTGCACGCAAAGTGATTCTTCCGTACCACGACCATGGAAGAATTCGGATGAATCTGGCATAGATGGGAGGATCTATCACATTCTTTCTGTGGGTGTCATTATCAAAATTTCCTTGAAAGACCTGTTGGGAAAAAAAAAAGAAAAAATCCTAAATTATACACTGATTAATTTTACTTCTCAATCAAACCTAGCAGACCTATTTAACAGGTGCACCAAATGGAACAATTTGGAATATTTGATGATAAAAAAACTACTATAAAATAGTTGTTCATTAGATACATAAAACATTAGTGTTAAGCATTTTGTTTTTGTAAAAAAAACATTTGAAATAAATATTTCCTCATGTATGCTCCATACATCACATACAGCAGCAAGAGGAGCTACAGAGGAACTACAGAAGAACTCTCTAACACCAGATATATACCATTATATACACCACCGGTCAGTAAGATTTTTTTTTTTTTGAAAGAAATTAATACTTTTATTCAGCAAGGACACATTAAATAGATCAAAAGTGACAGTAAGGACATTTATAATGGTACAAAATAATTATATTTCAAATAAATGCCATTCTTTCAAACTGTCTATTCACAAAGAATCAAAAGTGAGAGTAAGGACATTTATAATGCTACAAAATAATTATATTTCAAATAAATTTCCTGGAGGAAAAAAACAATTAGGCAGCAAAACTTTTTCAACATTGAAAATAATAAGAAATGTTTAGTGTGCAGCAAATCAGCGTAATAAGTAATTGATAATGTTTGAGCACAAAATCAGCATATTAGATTGATTTCTGAAGGATCATGTGAGACTGAAGACTGGAGTAATGGCTGCTGAAAATTCAGCTTTGTCAACACAAGAATAAATTACATTTTAAAATATATTAAAATAGAAAACAGATATTGTAAATTATAAGAATATTTCACAATATTACTATTTTGACTGCATTTTTGATGAACAAGCTCCAAAAAATGGCTTGTTTGGATCTGAGATGACATGTGACGTCACAAGGGCACAAACATTTGCACATACATTGCCTCCAGAACAAGACATCAACGGATAGTTATCATCTCACCATAGGACTTGCCCAATGGCATTCCGTCGCTTAATAGCTGACACCTACACTGGATGCGAGCATGGTGTCTCGTCAAAAGCAAATAGAACCTGTTATAATAACTGCCGCTGCCTTGTCTACACTGGATACAGTATACAGATATGTGTTCACTTTCTGACATAGTCCATGCGCTAGAGTCTGACAACAACTGGGCAAACGGTAGAATGAACAAATGTTCGCTTTGACGCATTTAAACAGTTGGTTCGCTTCTCAGTACAGACATCAGAAGGATTCCAGCATCAGGAACAAATGGATGGTTTATTTTAATGGCATCCCGGATCGTGTCGGAGGATTATATGTTTGTTCAGAAGCATTTTATTTTGTAAAGGAAGGAGTGTAATGCAGAGTTTGCAAAGAAACATTTGTTGAAAGATGAAGCTGTATTGCATCTGAATGCAGCTGCATCAGAAACCGTAAGTAAATGATTTCAAAGTGCTTTGTCTGTAAATTAAATATTTTTATTTTTTTTATGAATCATGTTGTCAAAACCCTTACTCACATGCAGTAGTGTAGCATTGATACTGTTGTGTATGCAGTTACATTAGCTAATCATAACAGTGGCCATTTACTGACAATCCTTAAAGGACTCGCCCCTTATAAACAGTTCGTTTTAGACAGAGGATCAGAATGAGAGCTGAAAATAATAATTTTTCCAAATATATATTTGCAGTATTGCTACAAGTAACAACGCTACTATTGTAGCTACATTTTTCAGTAGCTTGACAGTAGCTCAACTACTTTTAAAACAAGCTTTTCTAGTAGCTAACTACATTTTCCAGCATGGTGTAGCTCGACAATAGCTACATTCTAATTTGTGAACCTGCAATAGACTGAAGCAACGCAGCATCTTCTTACAAGATCACTGTCACGAATCCGGTCTATGAACTTCAATTCACTCACCACCAGAGGTCACCCTTCCATTACATTGACTCTCGCACTACACAAACTGATGCATGTCATCCCGGACTACATATCCCATCATCCATTGCACTGATTGCACACAGCACTGATTGCACACAGCTGTAACCAATCACACATTCACTATATAACACTCACTCTGATCCCCTTTCAAACTGCCGAGTATTGTATAGTGTTTATCACTCTCATAGCGATAGCTACTCTACGGAGCCTGTCTAGTTTTTCATAGCCTTATCTTAGTCTTGCCTTGTCTGTTTTCTCGTGTGCTGATCTTTGCCTGTGTATCGTGGATTCCCCCTCTCATCTTGCCCTATTCGGATACTGTTTGCCCCTGCCTGGACCTTTGCCTTGTACCTGGATTTATCCCTCTCGCCCTGTTGATTCTGTTCGCCGATCGTAGACCCACGCTAGCCCTAGGAATATTCTTGTGTCTTGCGTTCTATATACCTGTTGCCATTGTCTGACCCTTGCCTGTTTCTGACCATGTCGGTTAATAAAGCTTCGCACTTGGATCTGCACGTCTCACGTCTCAGTCACTCCGTGACAATCACATACTAAACCAGTGCATTACCACCATCTATTGATGTATCACACATCTCACGGCTTTACGTTTATTTATTATTTTTTAATAATTATTATTAATTTATTAATATTTATTGATTGTGTGTTTTAGTGATTGTTTATATATATATATATATGTGTGTGTGTGTGTTGCACTCTGAATAGTTCTATGTACATCTTATTGGGACCCCCTCGAAAATTAGATGGTTCATCTCAAGGGGCTATCCTTTTAATAAATTCAAATTCAAAATTCAAATAATATCTTGCAAGTAACAACGGTTGAAATTCAACCCATAAAGTATTCTAACATTTGGCAATTAACATTAAGGAAGAACTTTGTGTGAGGGCTTTTTTAAAGGAGATAGTTGATTTACATAAATGACATCATGACGTTCAAGAGAGGGTTGATATTTCAAGTTCGACACACCCTATTATCTAACAACAAGAGACGGTGGTGGAATTGGAGATAATCACTGGATTATTGAAGGACACTGCATCTCAATCCTCAATCATTTAGCACTGGACTAAAAAAAATACTTTATATTCGGATACGTCATATTTATGAAAATACCCAAGATGGCTTGAAGAACATTCTATTACCTCTGTGATGCATATTTGGAGTTTCTGCGCAAGGGCACCTTCTGGCGTCCAGTATGAATGAAACAGACATTACATGTGTTTAGTGCTCAGTAATGCACCCTCAGTACTATTTTGGGCATAAACAGATAAAATAATGCTTCTCTTTAAAGAAATTTGAAGTAAACATATGATAATCCATGCTTTTCTCCAGTGTATAGAAGTGTACATGAGTTGTTTTTTCCCCCACAGTTGATGCATGAAAGGCTCATATTTAATATTAAAGACATGGACTCCATTTTTTGATTTTACATAGGCCTACCTCCTGATATAAATGAAGAAATTACTGTCATAACATTACCGTCATAAGATTTTTTTTATCATAACAGTATCATATAGTGTACAGTCTATAGGCTGCCTGCATGTTACATGTAACAGTTTTTTGTTTTGTAAAACAGTAGTTTTGTAAAAAAAAAAAAAAATTAGATTCATTTTTTATCTAATTATTATAAATTTGTTGCAATTTTGAACTTTGACTTTTGACAACTGGAGCTACTGAAAGTTTTAAATTGTTTAGTTTTGGCTCACATGCTTCCAATTTAAAGTTCAAATGAAATATAGGCTAATTCACTGTAAACAGTCAGATTATTTAATTAGCTTTTGATGAAATCAGCTTGACTTTGTATTTCCTACAGCAGACGTATGTAAACACATTGACCTATCAATCAAATAGTGCGTATTTACAATACAGAGTCAGAGAAAGGAAGTACAGTTCATGATTTATGAATAACCCTTGAGTGCGCAGCTGAACTGATGCTGAAGGCAAACAGAGCTCAAGTTCATTCAGTGCAAAGAGTTCAGAGATGGGGAAAATTCAGCAAGCAACAAAGAGGTTGGCTGGGAACTAAGTCTTCAAGTGGGCTTTAAAGACAAATTTTGCTGAGCTCTCTGAGCTCTGACAGCGCATATTCATCAGCAGAGAGTAAACAATAAGAGCACAGAGATCCTGTGTGTCTAATTGCTGGTGTCACAAGCATTGCATAAATGTGTGACATATTCCCTCCCTTTCTCTCTTCCACACTGAATCAGCGTTCCCTTTTGCACCATGGAACCAATCTTGTGTTTTGCAGCTCGACTCTCTCCAATGTACTCTGAGCCAGAGCGGGGGGAAATGTCATAAAAAACTGATTAGGCAAAAGGGCAGCTCAAAACATGAACTCATTTGCTGAACTTCTCATCTGATGCCCTGAGAGTTACATGAGAGTTAAGTAAGATTTATTAGGCTGCTCTTATGTCTTTCATTAACATTTTATAACCCTGATGACACCTCAGGCGCCTGCGTGATTCCAATATGGTCAATTACAGTACATTATATGCTAAATCAAACATGAGCGTATGTGCAGCCAGTGTTGTGGACGAACGCTAAAAAATACATTTTTCAGTAGCATGAGGGTAGTATTTTTAGAAATGCAAATATAAATCAAGTGGTTCACAAAGAGTCCATCAAAGCTGTTTCTATTCAGCAATTAATTTGAGGCCCTGTACAGAAGTTACGCTATTTTAGATCTTCATTATTTGTGTTTGTAAATATAAGCTGTATCATCTGATGGATAACTTGACTGCTATTGAACTATACTTTAAATTATGAATACCTTGAGAATTTGCACAAATAGTTTATGTGATACTCTGTAACTGTAATAGGGCTGTAACAGCACACAAAAATCATGGTTTGTTACATATTTTAAGTCACAGTTCGGTATGTTTTTGTTAAAGTGGGGGGAAAAAAAGTTCATTGCTTTTTTTCTTTTTTCTTTCTTTATTTTTTAAAACAGTTATTTACTGTACAAACTATGCCTCTATCTTTAAAAAAAAAAAAAATGTGTCAATACTACTGAAACCATAATGCATTTTATGGTGCTGTTGGAAATGGGGAAAGGGATTTGAAATGCTTC